CTGGCTAATTTTTTCTATTTTTAGTTGTTTGGCCAATTTCTTTCTATTTTAAGTAGAGAAGGGGTCTCACTCTTGCTCAGGCTGGTCTCGAACTCCTGAGTTCAAACGATCCACCCGCCTCGGCCTCCCAGAGTGCTAGGATTACAGGCGTGAGCCACCGCGCCTGGCCCCCATTAACCTTTTAACAGCACATATTAGAAAATAAAAAGACCAACTAATGTGATTAGTGCAAGAGAACATTTTGAAACCAGATGTCACTTTTCTTCTTAAAATACAGAAACAGGAAAAATAACTCTTTCAAAAATAACCATGGCAGTTTGGAAGGTACTTTTTAAATTTAGTTAATATCATACTTTGAAATTGTGTCTTGTTATTTCTTTGTGAAGATGGAGCTGAACAGACTATACCAGGGTGTGAAAATATCAATAATACCAGATTTTGCTAAGGGAAAGACTTTCGTCACAGTTATCATGTAGAGTAACATCTTCCTAAGCTCTGAATAGCCAATGGGCCACAGCTCTGAGATGGAAGAGCTGCACTTACTTACATCCTCTATGGGTCAGCAGACCTAACTCCTACCTCGAAGGACCATTGAGCACAGTAAACCATTTTAAAAAGCAAAGGATCTGCAGGTGTGGTGGGAGGAATGCGAGGTAACTATGTAAGCTTCCATTGAAAGTGAGGACAAGGAGTTGAGAGGAAGCAGATTCTAGGCCAATCCACATTGTGTTTTTGTTTGTGTTCAACAGAAACTCGAGGACCCAAATAATTTAATAATATTTGGCCTATCACATAAACTTCCTTGAAACTACCGACAGTATTTTCATGATCCCCTTCATACATGCTGAAAACCGTTTACCTTTTCAACGTCTGTTTTGGCACTTTGGACTTAGACCGCTGAGATATTAGAGTTAAACACCACAAATTGGTTCTCCCAAACGTAATGGTTTTTCAATTTGGACTTCTTATTTTAAGGCTAGAATTACCTGAGTGGCTGGCCAGCCCTCTCTCTAAGGCTGTGGTCCCCAATCCCTGGGCCACAGACCAGCACTGCTCCATGGCCTTTTAGGAACCAGGCCACATGGCAGGAGGTGAGCAGAGGGTGAGCCGGAGAAGCTTTGTCTGTAGTTACAGCCTCTCCCATTGCTCGGATTGCCGCATAAACTCTGCCTCCTAGCAGATCAGTGCGGTGGCATTAGATTCTCACAGGAGCGCGAACCCTACTGTAAACTGCGCACACGAGGAATCTAGGTTTTGTGCTCCTTATGAGAATCTAATGCCTGATAATCTGAGACGGAGCTGAAGCGGTGATGCTAGCACTGGGGAGTGGCTGCAAATACAGATTATCACTAGCAGAGAGGTTAGACTGCACGATAAATGTGATACACTTGAATCATCCTGAAACCATCCCCCCCCACTGCCATCCATGGAAAAAGTGTCTTCCATGAAACTGATCCCTGGTGCCAAAAAGGTTGGGGGGCTACTCTAAGGTAGTAAACGGTGGGTTTTATTCTTTTTACCTATAAGCCATTTTATACAACCTCTGCAGAAGTATGGTGATTACAAGCATACATTTTTGGGGAGACTTGTTAATGAAGCTCACTGCCAGTATGCTGCCTGGCAATCACTGTCTGGTATCAATCTCAGAGACATGTAAAATGCTGAAATATAAGCAGAGGTAATTAACAGCACACTTTGCTTTTACTTCCTGGTCTATTTCCCTGTCCTTCTGAACAATACTCTTGGGGACCACAGCTGATAAATAATTGTCTGCCTTGGTTGATGCCTACTATGCAGTGAGAATTTAACGGTGTTGCCAATCATCTGTGCTACAGGAAAAAGAGCACTGTATTTTTCTCTTCCTTTAAGGGGAGAGGAAGAAACAGCACTTGAGCAGTTCAGTAAGTCTTTGGGCATAAGAAAAGAAATCATTTTTCGTGCCTTGCAAACTTTGATTTACAAAAGAATGCTGGAAGCTAAAAGCCTTGTTGATTTATCACGTGAAGCAAAGAGTAATTTTTCTCCCCTTGTTATGCTTTCATATAATCATGCTCACTGCCTGTATGGGTGGCATTAAAGAATTTCTGAATAAAAATAATAATGTCTTGCTTTCAACCTTCATAATTCACATCAGCAAGCACCCCGCTGGGTGGCGATGCCTACTGCCAGTGACGCTCAATCTTTTCTGCACGCCACTTATCTGCCTGGTGCAGCTGCGTGCTCCATTGATCGCAATACCTGCAGGATAATGCGCCCGTAGGCGTTCTTCAGCAGATTAACCGCGTCCGCGTGAGACAGCCCATCTAAAGGTTGCCCATTAATGCTGACAATCCGATCTCCAACCTGGAGGTACAAAAGTGGCAGAAAATCACTATCATTAAGAAAAATTAAATTTGAGAAGAATGCTTAAAATTCTTTGTAAATCATATTTCCCATTTGCGGCTATTGTGAAGATTCTGTGTTTCTACTGTGTATGCATGTTCGAGAAGCATGAGGAATGTTTTTTGGCTTTCCCCACATATAGACCAATCAGAGAAACAAGAAGGGGGTCAGATTTGATTATTAAAAGGCACAGTAGGCCTCTTCTGTATTTCGGTAATGGTGGTGTTTCATACATCCATTCTCCAGTAATAGCAGGGTGTACAAATTAACTGTTCAATAAAGCTCTAATGAGGAAGCCAAATATTTTCTGCTTCATTTTTCTACCTAAGATGAAGGGGCAACAGGAAAAAAAATTGTAAAAATGTTGATTCTTTGGGTTCAGGGAAGACTCTCTCAGTTGAAAGTCATTTTGGGTGGAATGAGGTGCTTAAAAGGGTATGGAAAGGTTTGCAAAGGAGCTGCAATTTCTTCTTTTATTGAGAAGCTTTGATACAAACAATAATATTTTTATATGCCCAGGGACCTAATGAATTTCAGGTATAAAGTTTCTCTAATGCATCTTGCCCTCAGCATGGGTCTCTGATGGCTATTGGAATTCTAACTTTAAACAAGGTGCCTGTGGCTGCAACTTCCTCTCCCACCCCACCACATGCTGTTAGCACTTCAGTGCGTCCTCTCTTGTTTACTTTAAGCTTCTGTGTACGTGCAGCCACTCCGCTGGCCTGAATCATGGCAATAAATACAGGGATATCTCCTAAGGGACTTCCTTTTCCTCCAGCAATACTGATTCCAAGGGCATCACTGAGCTCCTAAAAAAGAAAGAAAACATAACGCTTATATATTTAATAAAGAGCCACAACCTGATTGTCCCCAGATAGTTGTTGAACAAAATCCCCCCACGATGCAGGAGGCCAGGATAACACAAGAGTCAAGCACAGGGCCTTTGGAGCCTGAAAGCCCTATATTTCGGCTCTAGCATTTAATTAGCTGTGGGTTCTTGGGGGAAGTTACTTAACTTTGTGAAAGTTGCCAGAATCAAAATGGAGTCTCTTGTGTTAAAAAAACAAAACAAAACCCTGACAAATAGAGCCAGGGAATGCTATGAAGAGAGGGTTCTCATGCTTGTGTGTCTGATAACAAAAACTATCACAAAAGACTGCAAAAACCATAATCTTGCATGAAGGCCATTGCAACCTTACACACACACACACACACACACACACACACACACACAAAACCCAAAAAAACTTCTGCAAGGCCATCCGTCCAGCAACTGCCTGGCCAACCTCGAACTGGTATCACCCTTATTATTGATCTTTGCTGCCAAAGATAATTATCCTAAAACAATTATGTAATATTCTTCATTTTTCCTTTAAAAATCTTTGTCTTCCTTTACTTCCCTGAATATGCACGTAGTTTACTATGGCACATGTATTCCCATTGGAATGCCCTAATTCTGAATAAACATCATTTTCTTCTAGAAAGCCTCTGTCCATTTGTTATTTAGGCTGAAAACCTCTTAGAGCCGCCATCTTGATGTGTAAAATGCAAAGAATACTATGTACCTCACAGTGTTGGTTTGAGGATTAAATGAGATGATACAGCACAGTCCCGGCCTAATGAAAAGGCTCAGTAAAAGGCAACAGGAGGAATAAATAAAGAAACAAAACACCCTATGCTACTGCTTAGTTTAGTGGCCAATTCTGACGCAGACTTGGCAAGTATGTTCTCATATGGTGTTTATGATTTAAACTGCCGCACGTACCATGCTCTTCTGGGTGTGAACACACTTGGCTCTAAAAGACTGCGTTAAAACAAAGGATCTGAGAGGACACTCACTGTAGTCACAACTGTTTGGAGAGAGAAGTAAAATGTGGCTGAGAATGTTCCCTAAGACGGACCCTGGTGAAAAGACCTGGCTCTAGTCCAGGTTTTCCCCATGCCTGATTCACTGGGTTCATATTTTAAAAATCACAAAAAGAAAAAAATGACAAGTTCCAGTTCTGGCAAGGTGGCATACACATATGGCAGCATCTCTCTCCTGCTGATTACGATTAAGAAGTCTTGTGAAAATGTAAAAAACAACTACCTGCGGCCTCAGAAGCATAAAGAAACAAAATAAAGTGCGGTGGAGAGTCAAAACGTGGAGAAACCACAACAGGGGGTAATTTCCCAGGTTTTTTTTTTTTCCTGGCGTGATTGTCCTGATGGTGATTCCCAGTCAAGGAGCTGGAAAGGTGGGGTGAACTGCTGAAATCCAGATGGAAACTATCTTTCTGCCTAGAGGAACTAGAGAAAAAAGCAGAAAGGAAGAAAGGAAGAAAACTAGAGTAAAGAGAACTGGAGAAAGGGGATCCCCTAATTCCATGTGTGAACCCACAGAACTCTCAGGCTCAATTCTAGGCTATGTCTGTGTAGGACAGACCCAAAGCAGCACAGCTCAAGTTTGGAGAACTGAACTGAGGTTTGAACCACCGCCCACAGCAGGTGAGCCAGAACTTGCAGTCTGAGCCTACTTGGGTTGACTGTCTGTTAAAGCATAAGCATCAACATTCTTCAGAGTCTAAACAACTACACAACATGACATTCATGAGGTCCAGAATAAAGTCCTAAACTACCCAGCAAGCATGCAGGGAATCAGGAAAATGTGACCAATTTTCTTCTTAAGTTCTTTAGACGGTTGAAAACAAAAATCATAGCACTGTTCAGTGGAGTTCTCGATTTATGTAGACACAAGCATATGACAACTGTGGCCTAAGTGTCAGCGGTGGCTGTGGTAAAGGGAAGTATACGGTTGCAAGGCCTCCACAGTTTACAGTGATCATTTAAAAATATACTCAGCTCAATGTAAATCAATTATATCTCAAGTTGAAAACGCAAAGAGAACAAAGTGACAACAGAAACCGTGTATGCAAGAACTTTAAAAACTTGTCTCATGTAAGTATGAGGAATTATTCCTATTAACATTATCATCAGTGCTGCCATGTCATACCTACGAGACAGAATAATGGCAATGCTGATCTCTCTGGTCACGGGTAGCTTAGATCCTGTTTTCAAAGGGTTCGTGTCTAACCTAAATTTTTGAATGCATCAATAATCAACCCTTGTGTGCAAAATGGCAAGATGTGTTTTATTACGGAGTTTCTGCTTGGACCGTGTGTGAGAGAACAGGGTTGGTAGGAGCAAGCCTTATTATAAAGGCCTGTAAAAACATGTAGTTGAAATGACTAAGGAAACATAAAATGATATTATTTTTAAGAGATCTTGGAATAAGGAGAAATTTATGCAATAATTTGGCTTTGTTTAAATGCATCATGATAATGTTTCCTTAATTTATCCACAATTATGTACGCTTTTGGTATATTTAACTTCCCCATGATAGGAACATCTGAGTTATCACTCTGGTGGAAAGATACTGGGAACAAATAAGGCAGATTTAGTCAAAGTTGTAGCCAATAGTAACAGATGCCACTTCCTAGGCATTCATGATCAAGTAGGTACTAAGTATATTACATGTATTACCTCATTTAATACACACAACAATATTTACCTTTGAAGTAAGTTAATGTTATCACCCCATTCTACAGACAAGAAAATCATGGTTGACTTGCTAAATATTATAGAGCTAATGTTATGGACTGAATTGTGTCCCCCTGAAATATACATGTTGAAGCCATAAGTACCAGTGCCTTGGAATGTGACTGTTTGAAGACAAGGCCTTTAAAATGAGGCCACTAGGGTGTGCCCTGATCCAATCTGACTGATGTCCTTATAAGAAGAGATCAGAAATAAGAGAGACCAGGAAAGATGAGAGACACAAGGATAAGGCCATGTGAGGTCACAGCAAGAAGGTGGCTATCTGCAAGCCAAGGAGAGAGGCCTCAGGAAAAACCAAACCTGCTGACACCTTAAATCTTGGAATTCCAGCCTCCAGAACTGTGAGAAAATAAATTTCTGTTGTTTGAGCCACCCAGCCTACAGTATTTTGTTATGGCAGCCCTAGCAAGAAGACAGCTAATAAATGGTAGAGTGCCTCCAACAAAGGATGACTGGACCCAGAGGGCTAAGCTATGCTGGATATTACTTGACTGCAGCTGAATGCTATGATTGCAACAGGGTCATAATTTTTTATTACTTCTGGAGACCCAAATTTATGATCAAAGCGATCAAAATAAAAGTCTACTTTCTAATATTCTAGATATTTGAAAACGAGGGTTTGACAAATTTATGAACTGAAAGGCATCTCACACAATCTTCTCAAAAGGGCAATTTAGCAACATGTATAAAAGCCATCAATAATAAGCATGGCTTTTAACCCAACAATTTCTTTCTTTGATTATTTTCCTGCTAACTTCTTCCTTCATACCAACAATTTCATTTCTAGGAATTCATCCTGAGGAAATTACCTGTGCTATTGGCAAAAGTGGAAATATAAAGAAGTCTTGCTATAAAAGATAGCAAAAATTGACAAATACGCTAATTGTTTAATAAGAGGAGGCTGGTTAAGAAAATTACAGCACATATGATGGAATACTATGTTATCATTAAAAAAATCATCCTTTATGCTGTCAAAAATACTTTAGTATGTTCTACACAATAATACTTTTTGTTCTGTCAAGAAAATACCCACATACACACACAAAATATAGTGGATGGGATTTGTCAAAAAATCCATAGTGGTCATCTGTGTGCTCTACTGTATTTGTCTAAGTCTATTTATTGATGTTACACAGACAACATTTTTACTTCAGTAATTGAAAGAGTGCATTAACAATCCAATAAAGTGTATTAAGTAGAAAATGTACATTTTATGCAAATCTAACAGAAACCAGACAAAAAAAAATAGCCAAATAACTGACTTACTCTGATTATCTCAACGGTCCTTGGCACCATGTCTGTGCCTATAAATAAAGAAACAACACAGTTGACTTTTTAAAATTAAGAGATCATATATTTAGGATATAATATCATTCCATGAAAATGGTACCATTTTCTAGGCCTTTCAAGAGAGGGACACTAAAGGAAAAAGGAATCACACCCTTTCTCAACATCCAGACTGGCAGCCAAGTCATCAGGGCCATGTCCTCTATTGTAAAGTGCTCTCTGTTTGAGATAGATGTGGCCATAATCGTGTGGTCTCACAAAAGTTGATGGACTGTGACAGCAGCTGCCTAGAACATGTGATTAAATGCTTGGAGGATGAGCCAGTTGTGCCTCATTGTACATTTTTCTACATTTATCAAAGATAACCCTCCACCCAAAAAAGACTTAAAAAGACCCCTTGCCCCACCCCCAATGGTATTCACACTTCCGACGTTCCAGTGACCAGGAATTTATTAACTTTCTCTTTGAAAAGAGTTTTACTTTATGATGCACTCCAGCTTTCTGCTTTTCTGTTTTTCATGTGATTTGTGTACATTAAAGGTACATTTCTAAAAAGGAATCCCTATAGCGCTCCTTCCTTCGGACCAGCCTTTCAGAACACTTGTGGCTTACGTGGCCAAGCTCAAAGATTCAAAAACATTCAAACTAAAGATGAAAAACTGTTTTATCAAATTGCTTAATTTTTTTCTTTTTTTTTGAATTTGGGTAACAGGATGGTTTTGCCGGGGGTGTGTCCACATAATACCTGAGTTCTTCTGGGCAGGATCTGAACCTCTTTTTGTGCCGACCAGGTTTTGCAGGCCGGCGACGACAGGGGCGAGGGAGGGACGGCAGCTGCTGTGTGTGCTGTGCTGACTCCCCTGGAAAAAAAAAAAAAGACCCCAGCGGTCACTTGCGTGCAGACACTGACTTGGCCCTACAATTTCATCCTCCTCATTGGTATGTCAATTACTGAGGTCACCATAACCAACTCACAGAAAATCCTGAAGAGGCCAAGAAAGAAAACAAAAATCACCCACACTTATTCTCTCACCGCCCCAGACCAATCCCAGTTAAGTGTTTGCTCCACTGTTTTCTCCATTACGTATGCTTTTATATACAGTTGCAATCATTGAGGTAGAGAACATACAATCATTTGAGCTGTCCTTGCTCCACATAAAATCACAAACATTTTCCTATGTTGCTACATAGTGTTTATATACAGTTAGCTGATGGGCGCTATGTGTCATTTGGGGTTATGGTCAACATGTGTTCCCTTATTACCTAAAGTGTCTTGTATATTTTGCTCAAACAAGTATAATAAAACCTTATTAACAGAACCTTGACCAAACAAAACCTTCAATTGTAGGAGAAACCAGCAAATATCAAGGGAAAAAGGCTTTTTCAGTGATAACATTTTTTTTCCTTAAAGATTTTGCTAGAGTCAGTAATAATTTAGTCCAATCTGCTATCCCTCCATTACCTGTCCTTTTATTCATTTAAATAAATAGCTGAGGTCTATAGCGGGTGGTCATTTATGGCTAGTGGCTATTCAATGAAAATAGTATACATAGTGAAGGCCCTTTCTAACACAGACAATATAGCCAACAATGAATAATTTTTCTACCAAATTATTAAGCCTATGCCTAACTGCATATCAAAATTTTAAGCTAAGCCTAAGATTATTATTATTAGTTGATAAATCATAACTTGGTCCATTTCCTTAACTATGATATAAGTTGTTTAATATTTTAAATATGAAAAATTTCAAATATACAGAAAAGTTGAAAGAATTATATACACTAGATACCCATATATACACCACCTAGATTCCAGTCAATATTTTGCTACATTTTATCACACATCCATTCATCTATTCATCACTCAATTCATCTTTTTTTTTTTTTAAGATTCATTTCAAAGTAAGTTTCAGGTATCAGCATACTTCACAGTGGATATATATATTTAAAGGAGTGTTTTTACAGTTTTCTTGAAAGGATATAATTTAAATAAATGCTACTACAATAGATAACTACTCAGACTTGAGAAAGTATAGCATATTATAACTTTTGCCTAAAAAAAAAAAATCACAGAATAATGTGTTTGCTGAGGCCTTTGTAAACACGGCCTTTGCCTGGCTGAGGAAAAGATTCCTCAAGTGTTTTTTCCAATACACATTTTCCTCTGCAGAGTAGAGATACTTATTCCTGGTTGGGGGGAAAAGCCGTTATAAAAGAAGAGGCTTGTTGGCCCCCAGGCTAGAAATTCTCTCTTAATGAACGCACTTCCTATGAATTCAGTCAATAAGTTATAATCTCCTTAGCCCTCAAAAGAAGGCACTGATCTCCCTATCTGGTAACTACCAGAAGCAAATCTGTGTCCCTACAGAGTCCTGACCTCTCTAAATAGGTCTGATGTGAAGATGTTGGCAATGGAATCTTCCTTTTGTCCACCAGGGTCAGGGTCTTCAACTCATGATGGTGGAAGACACCCTTTTTAAATTTTTATTACAGTCAGCTACCAGTCTTCTTCTAATTAGCCAAACAGGGCAAACTCTCATGTCATCTCAGCCATAATTTTAAGGACAAGTGGACGATAAATATATTTACGATTTTTTAATTGAATTAAACTTCTACCCTCTGAAATAAAAATTCTGTGCAAGGAGGTTAAAGTATTTGATAATTTGTTCCAGGTTTCCAAAATATGATGCTCACATTCATATATCAGACAAATGGTTATGATGGGGTTTTTTTTCTTTTCGGACATTTAATGATACGGCTTCTAAACTTGCTAGCTCTGTATTTAACCTGAGTGTGAACTTTATCAATCACGAAGACTCTCACATATATTCGACTGTATACATGAAACACAATCATGAAGATGCTCAGGAAGGACAGAAACCCACCGCTCTATCTGGCAGTCTGAACTCTTCCTGAAACACACAAACTACTGTCACCCCTCTGTGCCTTTGTGTATGCTACTCTCTGTCAGAGATGCCTTCTCCTTTTCCCCAGACCTCTTTCGGAGACCCAGTGGAACCTCCTCTGCACAGCTCTCTCATACTCTGACAGCTCTCTCATACTCATCCTGCATTCTAATCTCCCGTGTACAACGAGGCTTTAAGGAAATCATTCAACAAACACAAGTCTTCCATTAAGGAGAAGCCATGTGTTAAGCCTGGGATGGGGAGGATAAAGTATAAAAATACCACTTACAAAGGGGAAGAAGACATCTGCTGCTACCTTAACCTCAGATACCTCCTCCCCAGGCCCCTCCTGATCCCTGAGAAAAAGCCTAGAAATCACTTTGAGTATAGAACAACCCTTCTCTAGAGGGGCCTTCAAACTGCATCTTCAGTTCCCACTGTCGATACAAGTCTGGTCAGAATCATCACTAACTGTTCACTCGTGGAATCTGACAGCAGCAGCGTCTTAGGCCTTTGCTGCCCATTATATTATATGACCCAGAAATGCACACACAAAAAAATTCCAAACTTAACATGGTATTTATTGGGTTTGATTGCTCTGAAGATTCCCTAAGACAAGCCAGCTAGTCTGAAATCCTATTTGAACAACAGTATTTTTCCTCACTCATTTTCTAACACCAATGACGCAAAAGACGCAACTAATACCGTGCGACTAGGTGCAGCGAGACATACCTACGTGCTAACCACAAAATCAGAGCATCTTCTCAACAAAGGCCTTCGAGAGCCTTTAAGTCTAAGGCAACCAGGGAGGACTTAAAGTTGTCTTTTTAACCTCAAAACAAAGACCTATCCATAACCCAAAGAAGAGAATAAGGAGTCACGTGCGAGTTTCTGTACTTTCATTGTGTACCAAATAGGACTAAACACATAGTCTACTACCTTGATTTTGTCAGCCATTACAATGGAAAAAATACAGTGAAATATCCTTTCTTAAAAAAAAAAGTAGCACTTACATCAGCCTTGCAAATAAACATAAGATGTTTGCTAACCCACAAAATATCACCCACCGAGGCCTCTCTCCCACAGGAGAAACCCCCACACTTCGTTCTCCTAGGAATACACCATTAACTGCCCTCAGCATGTGTGAGTGGCTAGTCACAAGTTAACTTTATAGCAATATTTAATTGAATGAATAGAACAATGTTGTGCTAATGAGGGTCAAATTGCCACCAGATGTTGCCTGTTTTTTTTTTTTTTTAAATAAACACAGCTGTGGACATGCACACATAGGCAATATAGAACTAATAGAAGAGAAAAGGGGTTCTAGGAAAACATTTGCAGGCAATATAGGAGAGAAAAATCTAGGTATTAATGAATTTCTATCCCACCTTTCTTTTTATTTCAAACACATGAAAATACACTGAACTTGGTGCTATGAATATGCTACATATGAGACATTGTTTCCAAACACTCATTTATCAAATGGGGAACTTTCTCCCAATGGGGGCAGAGGAGTGAGTCGGTCTGACGGGAAGCCATCAACCACCTGACTGTTCTGTGATGTCTTCCTTGCCGAGGTCCACGAACCAGCTCGGAGTCTTCCGATCTCTAGCTGCACAAGACCCTGTGCACACTTGGGAAGGCAAGAACAGAATAGAAATGAAAAGCAGTAGCATGTATGTTCTAGAATATCATAGCAGAGCCTCCACTCATCTCTGCAGCTGTGAATTATAAAAGCACCAGGCAAAAAGGAAAGTCAGTAATCCAACAGCCAAACAAAACACAATAATTTAAAAACTCAACAGCATTCATCTCATGACTTCTTTAAATGTGTTAAAAGGATGAGATTTCAATTCCCCTCTTTTCTCTTCCTTCCCTCTTCTGATGAAAGTATTCATGAACAGCAAAATAATGAAGAAAAAGTGGTGAAGAGGACAGAAACATCAAATGTGCAGATAATCTACAAATACATATCTTCTCTTGGGTAATAACTGATAGTTGACTTTATCAGGAAATCAGAATTTTAAAGTGAAACAAAATTTGCCTTTGCAAAAGCTTCCACGGCTATTTCTGAAACACAGAATAAAATGATGTACCTGGTTATAGTTGAATAAAAATTATTAATCGGTTTCTTCCAAGGGAAGTAAGGTCCATGTGGCAGACACTTGGGAGCGAATTTTGAATCTTAACATCTCTACAACTCAGTGAGAAATGGCTTGGGCAGTGGAAAAACCACTCAAGCAGAGCTTTGTGATCTTGGGCATGTCATTCTTTTAATTAATTATTATTATTTTTTGAAACACAGTCTCACTTTGTTGCCTAGGCTGGAGTGTAGTGGTGTGATCATAGCTCATTGCAGTCTTGAAGTTCTGGGCTTAAGCGATCCTCCCACCTCGATTTCTCAAGTAGCTAGGACTGTAGGTGCACGTCACTGCACCTGGTAAAATTTTTAATTTTTATGTTTGTGGAGATAGGATCTCACTGTGTTGGCCAGGCTGGTCTGAAACTCCTGACCTCAAATGATCCTCCCACCTCAGCCTCCCAAAGTGCTGACATTCAGGTGTGAGCCACTGTGCCCAGCCTTATTCTACTTTCTAAACTTCATTTGTAAAATGAAGGAATTGGTCTAGATAAGCTTTACCATTCCCTCAAGTAATAAAAGCTAGAACTGACAAATTCACAATCACATGTTCCCTGACATAGCCCTGGAGGGAGGAGGATGAATTCTGGGACTCTAGGAGAGCCCATCCCGTCAAATGCACGTAGAGGGCAATCATGGGTACTTGGAATTCTCACAACTATGAAAAACTAGCTTGGAAATCCCAAAGCGGGTTCCCTTCAATTCTGTTAGTCAATATAACAGAGCTTTTCTTTTAAAACTATTCCTGATCACTTAAAATAATCAAAGATTAGATTTCTAGTAAAAATCAGAGTCAGTATAAAATCCAGCCCATTTTATAATCAAGCTAGATGGGAACAGTTCCCACTGGACTTTAGTTGTGCCAGCTGGGCAGGAAGCAGCCTAGCAACTCACCTTGAGGATGGCGGCCACTGTCTCCTGTGAGGCATTTCTCATGTCCTCCCCATTCACAGATAAGATTTGATCTCCCTGAATCAACCTTCCATCCAGGTCTGCAGCTCCGCCTTTCACAATGTCAGAAATAAATACTCCGCTTCCATTTCTGTCAAAACCATACAACAGTGGGGTATTGGCACAACCAAGTATTTCCATGCATAACACACATGTGTGTTTGTGATTGGATACATACACTCCTTTTTTCCTCCAGTTTTGTTTTCTTTAACTTTGCTTTGATGATTGGTTTTTATTAGCACTTGGAGCCTCTTCATTTTTTTTTTTTTTTTTGAGACAGAGTCTCACTCTTTTGCCTGGGCTAGAGTGCCGTGGCATCAGCCTTGCTCACAGCAACCTCGAACTCCTGGGCTGAAGAAATCCTCCTGCCTCAGCCTCCCAAGTAGCTGGGACTACAGGCATGCGCTGCCATGCCCGGCTAATTATTTTCTATATAATTTTAGTTGTACAGCTAATTTCTTTCTATTTTTTTAGTAGAGACAGGGGTCTCGCTCTTGCTCAGGCTGGTCTCGAACTCCTGAGCTCAAATGATCCACCCGCCTCAGTCTCCCAGAGTGCTAGGATTATAGGCATGAGCCACTGCACCCGGCCCTCTTCATTTTTTTTTTATGGCTACATACTATTCTATGATGTTCCATGATTTCACTTATCAGTAACCTATTGATGGACATATAGGTTATTTCCATTCTTTAGCTATTGCAAACAATGTGCAGTGAATATCTGCATGTATATCTTTAAGAGAAATTCCCAGTGGTAGAATTGTTAGTCAAAGAGAATTGTGAATTTAGAGAGCTAATACATTGGATCCTTTGCAATGGAAGTTTCTGTGCTAAGGAATGTGAATGTTCCTTTCAAACTTAACCTGAAATACTGGTGCTGTATGAAAACCATTTCCTCAATCCACTAAATGATAATAAAGGAAAATCCATTAGTCTAAATGAAGTCTTCCCAGGCATACACATGTGCCAAAACGAGAAAGCAAACTTCGACCCTGGCTCTGTTAGTTGCTCTGCACCCAGATGTGCACTGATTTTGTTTAGAAATGTAGGAAACTCGGCTTTTTTAGAAATATAGGAAACTCGGCATTTTCAGAGCGATGGTTTTATGGTGCTGAAGTAAAAATATCAGATCATGACAGCACAATGCTTGGTACAAAATCAGTACTCAGAAACGGCGGCTAATACTTTAATTTCAATAACAACAGACTGCTGCACAAGAGCACTAGGCTAGTCACCAGAGGTCTGTGAGGGCACAAAACATAACAGATGTAAAACCAACTTGACCCAAGCCCCTTTGTCTTGTCACATGTGGACGATTTATCTTTGTGTTAAAACGGTACATGGGCATACCTCCTTTTATTATGCTTCACTTCATTGCACTTCGCAAACACTGTGTTTTTTACAAATCAAAGGTCTGTGGCAACCCTGTGCTGAGCTAGCCTACGGAGCCATTTTTCCAACAGCATGTGCTCACTTCGTGTCTCTGTCTCACATTTTGATAATCATTGTAATATTTCAAACTTTTTTGTCATTAATATATGTTATGGAGATCTGTGATCAGTGATCTTTGATGTTACTAACGTAATTGTTTTGGAGTGTTGCAAACTGAACCCACAAGAGACATCAAACTTAATGAATAAATGTTGTATGTGTTTTAAGCCCATATTGGCCATATTGGGGTACCACCTGGAAATCCTACAGCCCCGTTAGAATAAATACATACTAGATACCTAAAGCCAGTAAACCATGGAAGCTAGACTTACAGTTCAAGATATTACTTACCTTTCTAATTCACTGCAAGAGAAATTTACTAATATCATCCTGGAACAAATACTGTAATTCTCATTACATGGGATGTAATTCTCATCCCATGGGTAAGCAGTACAGACTTCAAAAGGGCAGTCTAGCCACAGGATCTATATACCTACATTTTTGGTGCAAACTATTATTTTTGAAACACCTTTCTTTTTTTCCTTTTATGAGAAATGGGGTCTTGCTATGTTGCCCAGGAGGCTGAAGTACAGTGGCTATTCACAGACCTTATCATACAGAACTCCTGGCCTCGAGTGATCCCCCCACTTCAGCCGACCAATTAGTTGCGACAACAGGCACATACTACCATGTTCAGCAGGACATCTTTTTTTATATACTAAACTTGAATTTTTTTTTTATATTTCAGGGTATTATGAGGGTACAAACATTATGGTTACACTTTATGTCTTTGCCTCACCCAAGCGAGGGTTAAAGGCATGCCCTTTCCCCCTACAATGCTCCCTGTGTCCTTTAGTTGTGGGTTTACCACCCCCCACCCATTCCCTTAATCCCTGGAGAGTATTACTGCCGTGTGATCACCCTAGTGTTGATCAGTTAGTACCAATTTGATGGCGAGTACAAGTGGATCCCGTTCTTCTGCTCTTGTGGTGCCTCACTTTGGATAATGGACTTAAGTTTAATCCAGGAAAGTATAAGAGGTGCTAGATCACTGTCGTTTCTTATGATTGAGTAATATTCCATTGTAAACATATACCAAATTTTAATAATCCACTCACGGATTGACGGGCACTTGGGTTGTTTCCACATCCTTGCAATAGTGAATTGTGTTGCCATAAACATTCGGGTGCAGATGTCTTTATCATAGAATGTTTTGTGCTCTTTTGGGTAGATGTCTAATAGTGCTATTGCTGGATCGAATGATATTTCTATTTTTAGCTCTTGGAGGTATCTCCAAATTCTTTTCCACAGAGGTTGCACTAATTTGCTGTCCCACCAGCAGCGTAAGAGTGTTCCTCAGCAGGACATCTTTCTTAATAGAAAACTACTGTCATGAAGAATTTATGTTTATCTCTTAACCATGTCTACTCAACTAGTTTTAACATAGTATGAAGTTAACATGGTATTCCACGCAGGAGCAATTTTTTTTAACCCAACATTGTATAAATCTACCTCTTGATATTAGCTGTTTCTTAAGTAGGGTTGCCTTAATTCACCTCTGCAAACCTCAGATCTACTAGGTAATTCTGCTAGTTGAAAGAACCTTGCTAGCCGTTCTCACTCTGTAAGGAAATATAATGGCCTGGGTTGATTGGGCTTGGAGTTCTATCATGATATGACAAGTTTTTTCATAACACCTTGCTCAGAAATATTACCTATGTTGTTGAAATATTCATAATATCTTAGTTTTAGCAATCCCATCATTAGTTTACATTAGGCTTTATCTTTCAGTGTCCCCAGAACTCTGAAGGAAAAGGCAGATCTTGACTCGCACAGCATGTCTTACCGTTTCCCGACGATGCTGAGGCCCAGCCCTCGGCCGGCTTTCTTCTGCAGATCCACAGGGAAAATCTCCAAGTTTTCCTCGTCCCTGTAGTGTGCCTCGTCTCTATACACCACCAGCCGCACCTGCTGGGGGGTCTGCCTCAGAGCTGTGATGGCTTCTTCGTGGCTGGAGCTCCTCAGGTCAATCCCATTAACCTAGAACAATGGGTGTCTGACATGGGCTACCACGGCAGGGCCTCCGCCTGCTCTGTCTGCTTGAACTCCTCGAACCAACCAGTAAAGAATCTCCAGAAATTTCCAGCCATTCCCAAAGCATACAGGTGGTGACCACTGGAAGTACAAGCTGCTTCAAATACAAAGGAGGTGACCCTTTCAATCCCTCACCCACATAAGCACAGAGGGTGGATTAGTACACATGACGATGAAATTTCATAGCTATGAACTTTACCGTGGCATCGATGGAGAGAGCACGAGCACACAAGGGAGCGTGCCGGGAACTAACTAGCTCATTGAATTGACATCAAAGGGAGAGAAATATTAGTGTTTGGTCAGCATTTTTACCCTTAGTTGCTTATTGGATTGGACACCCTCACTCTTAACTGCTCACATCACAACTACTTCAGAACAGGCCCAGAAGGAAACGAGGGACTAGTATTTCCGACAGTGTCAAAGACCCTCTAAAGTCTCCTCATTTGAATCTGGATCCGAGTGAGCACAGACAGGACCATGCATCAGACAGCAATGTACTGAGTAAGGCTGCGGCTCTGATTCTGGCAAGCCAGGTAATTCGGGCAAGTCACGCATCCTCTCTGGGCATCTGTTTCCTCTCCTGTTAAATGGAGACCACAGCCAACACATTTTTTACTTAAGTACTTCTATAGTGCTTGTGTGCTGGCCCTTTAGGATTATTTACTCATTTAATCCCTATGCAAACTCTCCGAAATAGATACTGTTATTATTACCATTTGTAGGTGAGGAAACTGAGGCATGGCCAGGTTAAGGGACTCGGCCAAGGTCACATAGCTGGCAGGTAGAGGAGCCAAGGTTTAAACCCAGACAATCTTTCTGCCCGGAGTCCCTGTTCCACGCGGCCTCGCAATGTGCTCTTACAGTGGGTCACTGGATCCCCCTGCCACAAAGTCAAGTACTGATGTTGGTTACCAGGGAGAAATTAAGGAGCAGAGTAGCCGTGGACTCAAAGGAAGGGAGTCAGGCTCATTCTCTCAAAGTCACAGCTGAGAAAAGAGCCAAAATAACGGGAAGGATGGGCCGAGGCCACAGCCAGGCAGAGGGCTGAACGGATGAGACCCCCATGATGTCGGTGCCACTCCTTCTAGTCCGGCCTTGGAGGGCCAAGCCCGTCTCTGAACCTTTGTTCCTTCATCAGTGCAAGGCTTTTCCAATGTTACCGTTTGAAAGATGAAGCATCCGCGGCACAAAGAACAGTTATAGAGAAAAGAGAAAAGAATGAACCCTCCATAGAGAAGGTGGCTTCTGAGCTGTTATTTAAAGCCGATTATATGAGCTACGAAAATGTTTAAAAGCCTAATTTTCAAGTTCCTTTTCTCCTGTATGTCTTGGTGGCTGTGTACTTAGATGAACTAATCCAGAATAACAGTGGTTAAGAACATGGGTTTTGGATAAAGATGGACTTTAGTTCAAGTGCTGATTCCAGCTTACTGGCTATGTGACACTCTGTGTAAATTACTTATGCCAAGCTTCCGCTATGTCATCTGTGAATTAGAGACAATAATAATAATTTCTACTTAGTGTTGTAAAGATTAAATGGAATAAACAGCCTGAAGCATTTGACACAGGGCTTGGCACAAAGTTATATCCAACATAAGTGAGAAGTTGTTATTTTACAAGGAATCGAAGTAACTGCGGCCAGGGCTGTTTTCCTCCCAGCATGATCACTGTTACATTAGGCTTATGCAGGTTTGTGAATTAAACCCACAGAACAAAGGGGAAAGCAATATTTCCAGGAAATGTGGTCCGAGCTGATTATTTTCCTGTATTCCAATAGATGGCACACAAGACCACTTCTGTTGCTCAATTCAAAAAACAAAAAAAAGGTTACCTCCATGGATTGAAGGTAAACTTTCTAAGTTTCTAAATACCTTTTCAAAGGCCTTAACAAATATACTTTTAATTAAAAGCACTGTCATTAAGCTCTAATATTACTAAAGCAGTTTCTACTAAATTCCACCATTAAGGTGTCTGCTCAGATCAAAGTGATCTAAGTTCACAGTTTCCATTTGCTCCTCTGCTTATCAAGGCCTCACTGAATGTGCCAATGAGAGAAGCATCGCTGTGTGGCTAGAATGCTGTGCAGTGAGGGATTGCGTGAAGTGCCTTCTAGAAGCACTGGATGCATTATTTATAACACTGATTAGAGAGGAGGAGGGTGGAAAAGCAGGGCTCCCTATTTGAGCAAAAGGGCCATAGGAAGCCCCGGCTGTTAATGGGAGTGCATGGCACCCTGAAAGGACAGCCATGTGGGGAAATGGGTGAACCAGGGCTTGAGAAGGAATGGGTAACTGAGCTAGGGCGGCAGGTCCTCATTGTTTTATTCCACCAGGAAAACCAGGCTTTCACTCTCCACTCTTTTTGCTCCCACTTGCATCGAAATAGAAAGGGATAATGGCAGTTTGGGTAGGACAAGAGGAGGGACTGGCCTAAAAGGAAAACCAGAAAGAAGACATAGTCTGTGCTCATCATAGAATCATAAATTCTATCATGCCCAAACATTATTAGGCTATATCCTTGGAGGCAAAATCTGGCTTGTCTTAATTTTAACACGGGGATAGTATGAAAACCATGGAAGGCAGCTTGCAGAATGCAGAAGACTTTCCTGAGTGGAAAGGCCATCGTTTGGAAAAGCACTGATATAGGGTCACCTGGTTTCACGGTCTCAAAATATTCCACCAAAGCTGGCCTGTCTTCTCCAGGAAACCTGCAGGCCACAGGCCGATTCTGCATCGTTACGCATTCGTACTCACCAGCCCCAACCAGAACCAGTCCCGATGCAGAATCTAAAGCTGCTTAGAAAAGGAACATGTTACGTGACCAAACTGATAACTGCATTTCTCAACTGAACACGTGTTATACTCTTATGCACTAGATCCTGTCTGAAGTGAGAGAGGAGCTTATACTGGCCATCTTTCACGAGAAGTACAGTCCATCCATCCTGCCTGGATAATATAATTCTGCCACATGTCAGCAAACGGTTAACTTGATCTTTTAAATTCTCCTTCCGCTTAAAACAAATTTGCTTCTTTGTGTTCATCCTGAGTGTTCACTTGTGCATGAATATACTTTATAGAAGAGAGCAGCTACAAAGGTTCTAGCTGATAAAAATAGAGATAGTTTTAAAAAAAATCTTTATTGAGGTATAATTGATATAAAATAAACTGCACATATTTAAAGGTTACAATTTGATAGGTTTTAACATATGTGTATTTATACCTATGAAGCCATCACCACACTCAAGATAATGAACATACTAGATTGAGTTTCAAGTGAAAATTATAATTTGTGGACTTATAATTCATATAAGAATCAAGGCATATATGCATCTGAATTATTTTTAATATTTAATCTATTCATCTTAAGAAGACAATTAAAATAATACCAATTAATTAGAAAATCTAGGGAGGAAAAAACAAAAACCCCAAACTCCTGACCACTAAAAAACTGTGTTGTGCTAACACAGTCAAGCCAATTCCCAAAGAGGCCTAGCTTATTTTTCTAACCTCATACACTTGTACGTTAATGAACCTACTGGGACTGTGTCCTAATCCAATGACGAAGCACAGTAAAGGCCTGCAGAGAAACCCTGTAATTTGGTCTGATTTTAATTTGCAGTCAGCCTGGCCTCTCCTTTAACTCCTTCTCACCTATGTTTCCTGCTCCTAATTATATCTCTGGTTTCATCTTGGGAGGCAGAAATGAACCACCAAGGGGATAAATAAAATTCTGTGATGTCATTCATAATGTGCTATATTAAAGTTGCAAAGCAAAAATGCATATGCCCACCATAAAATTCTAACTATTCAATTAAATTCATGCAATGAAATAAATAAATGTTGCCTAAAGGTTTCACACCATCGAGAAAGCTCTTTAGTTCTGCCTACCAGCACGCAGGGCATTGGCTTCCCATTCACCCGCTCCTGAGCTGAGACATTGCCTGCTTTGGTACTTTTTCAAAGGCTTTAACAACTTTGCTAAATGAGAGTCAATTTGAAAAAGTTAGGCATTTCAATTTTTAATAAGTAACACATACCACCTAAAGGGAGAAGATTCCACATTTTTATCAACTTGAAAACACTGGTGGCAAGGCATGGACCACCATTTGACATAAAGACTTTTTAGGATTAAGAAAATAATATTTAACCTGCAAGGTCTTTAAAATATCAGGTGTATATGTTTATGTATGTGTGTCTGTACATAAGTGGTTTTAGGAGGGAATTTAGTAAGGCAAAAAATAAATCAAATCACAGCATTATATAGTCTCATTTGATATTAAAATTATAGAACTATAAGCTGTATTTTCCCTTTTAATTAAAAGAGGCATTCGCAGACAGATGTAGATTGATAATCTGTCATGATTCTACACCAGCAAATTGTTCAATGTACATCCAAAAAAAAGAATATGCGTTTTGCTAAATGGGAAAGAAATCAGTGAAGACGTAGCTGAGTAGAAGACAGATAAACTGGCTTTGTGGATGAGTCAGCATATTTACTGATATAAAATAAAATTCAAAATGACATACCTCTAGTATCTGGTCACCAGCCCAAAGCCTTCCATCTCTGGCTGCTGCTCCTTCTTCATAAACTTCGTGTATAACTATAGCATCCTTTAAAAAACATTAATTTTCAACAATCACAAATGTTTCCTTAAGCAAACAACCAAACCATAGTCAGTGACCCATAATTTGCTATTTGCTAATAATGTTATATTTTATTTGACATAAAGATAAACAAAATACACAGTCATAATATATTCAGACATACAATTAAGTTTTCCTAAGATTATTATTTCATCCCTTTAGAACCGGCTTTGCCTAATATTTCATGTTAAACTTCTTCCATGTGTTTTACTGTTGACCCTGTACATTGCTGCTGTGTATGAACTTGAGGTGAACTATGTGTCATTCTTATTTACATTTTATAGTGTAGTTTGAAACACGGTTTTAGGTATTTATTGGTATTCAAGGATTTGGCATAGATGTGTGGCCTGATGGAGGGGGTTTGCCAGGCCTCGTTACTTGGGCAATGAAAGAAAAGAACTTACTGGAATGAACTGGTGCTGGAGGACAAAGCACGGAGTAGGGGAAAGAGCATAGATAGACCTAAGTGTAAGATGGCTACGGGTTCAAATCCTGCTCTGCTATTTTGTTATCTTGGGCAAATTAACTGCTTTTAACTCAGCATTCTGAGCCGTCAAATGAGGACAACAATATCCATGGTAGGCAAGCTTTGGTTGAGAAAAGTGTTTCATGGCTAATGAATTAAAAAATAATTTGTATCTCTTCAAATTATTATAATAACCTTAAATCTATTTATCATCATAAAAATAACATGTATCAATGTAAAGGACTCAATACCACCGGTCAATACCATCGAGGGTTGCAAACCACAAAAAGAGACTGTATCCCACCCAGACTCTCAGTCCCACTCATCAGAGACAATTACCATCAACAGTTTCCTAAGGATCTTGCTAGATAATTTACATTTATACACCTAAATATTTATGTATGTTTCCCATTCCAGCAGTTGTAGTTTAAAAAGAAAATTTATATATTTTGGTGAGACTACTCTAAAAATATTAAACTGAGTTTGCTCACACCATTTTTCCCTCTTCCCCCCTCCTGTGGAGCAAGTCGTCAAGCTTTGAAATTCCATGCTTCAGGGATTTTTGTGGAGCTGAAAACCAAAGCAACCAGAAGTCATTGGCTCTTTCTGTTTTTAATAAAACTGAAGGGCACTGAAAAGATTATGTTGAATGGATTATGCTAGGTGTCTTGGAGGGCTGCTGGGAGAGGAAAAAGCTTTTGAGCGGAGATTAGAAACAGAGATCGATGGCCCCCACAGTGACGATTTGAGTCCTGCAGTGCCCAGGGGCCTCCCATTCCCCACACCCAGCTCATACCCAGCGGTTTTAAGACCGTGCAGGCAACGGTCAAGGGCTGACACCTTTAGGGTAGACCATAGGCATGACAGACCCCAGCCTTGAAAGAAGTTCAGTGTCCTGCACACTGGGGCCTGCAAGTAGCAGGCCTTCTGGACTTGAAGAGATCATGTAGGCTTGGGCAAGGATAGGCCTGATGCCTACCAAGGTGGACCAATGACAAATGACCATAGGGTCTTACCAATGTTACCAATGTTGGGTGCTTTGTTAAGAACCTTTTTTTTTTCTTTTCTTCCTTTTTCTCCCTTTGTATTATGTTTTTGTTTTGAATTTTCTTTGAAATCTTTGCAGCCAGCTTTGTTAAGAACCTTGAGAGTTCTTGAGCCACCAAAATGGCTGAGGTTGTATTTCACCTTAGTCCAGAAGTATGGAGCCTCAGAATTATATTCATAGAAAGTAAAGAAATAAATATTTCTTTTTTTTTGAAAGTAAAGAAATAAATATTTCTTGCAAAAATGTAACAAAATAGAAAAAAAAAATCCAAACCAAACCTACTTTCTTTTCTTTTCTTTTTAAGAGATGGGCTCTCGCTATGTTGCCCAGGCTGCCCTCGAACTCCTAGGTTCAAGCAATCCTCCCACCTCAGCCTGGGAGCTGGGACTACTGCTTATCTCCTAGTGCTAGGCTTACTTTAAAAAAAGAATAGGGAAAAAAAAAAGGTTCCTGTATATATCTGGAGTAGAGAAACAACAAAAGAAAATGAGAGGTCTATAACTAGATAACCCATCTGGATTCCAAATACCTTTATAATACTAAATACAGTATTTTCATTTTATCACTAGACAGTTCTGGAAACATTCTTCATTATAGCAATTAGAGAGGAAACCCCCAAGAGCCAGGAAAGATTCCTTGATCCAGACAATTTACTCTTTGGATTCTGCACCAGATTTTAGACCATTCTCTAACTATGACTTATGAAATTTCCAGACCCAGGGAGCATTTACATTGCCAAGCTTTGTTTCTCTGAACTATTGCAGGGGAATGATTTGGAGGAAACTTGCTGGGTCAGTGGCTTGCTGTGATCCCTGTAACACTACTAAAATCCCACCAAGGGTCGTTTGTATTAAGGTAGTGCAGGAAGAAACTAATGCAGACTCATGGTAACTCCCGTGTAACAATGTTGGTTTGCAAAGCCTGGTGCCCAAACACCCTATCTTCACTGGATTGGCAGAATCACACATTAAACCCAGATTATGTGTGGTTTTTACAGAGCTTCACTTTCAGTGTGAACTTCTTTGATCTTGGAACATTACAAAAGTCAAATGGAAAATTTCTGTTCATTCATACTCAAAAGGAAGAAAAAGACTCCATGGATTTTTTTTTCCATAAAAATGGTCTAAATCCAAAACCCTTAGATACTTCCTGGTGCTCAATGAGCTATCATACATAAAGGAAAAATATGTTAATAGTTTCTAATGCTCAACTCACTGCCGACCATCCATTTTTTGGTCCATAATTCTTTCAGTTTGAAAAACTTGTTTCTTTCCTTTTGCTTGACTATGGCTGTCATTTCTCTAAAAGTTATGAGTGAAAATACAAGAAAACATGAGACACTGGGACCTGTGAATAGGAAAAGGCCACATTTCTTACCCTGTGCCCTTGTGTTCTATGAAGATGTGGTTCTGGGCAGGTGCATTTACAGGGGGTGTGAGAGGTGAGAGGTGGGGACCAAGAGCTAAGTCAGAAATGTGGGCTGGTTGAATAGAAAAGAAAAATGGGTTTATTTTTTAAAACTTGCACACAGACAGAACAGTCAAAAACATATTGGGCTGAGATATTTTAGGCATCTATTTTGTGAGTAGATGAAATAATAAGTCATGAATGAAAGATTGACCTTTGTTATTTTCAATAAAATGTTTGGAGTTGATTAGGCACATGATTCTTTTCTCCTCATTGGATACCCTAAATGTCCCTGCTTTTGAGCTATTCAAGCAACAGCAGCTCTGAGTGCCTTCTCCCCCCACCAGCCCTCCCTCCCTATCTCTGCACATGTAAACAGCATTCCTCCACCCAAGAACGCCTCAGTGACTCCAGCCTACCAATACCAACAGTTTCTAACGCTCATCTCTTCCAGAGCAGTCTATTAATCAACCACCCTGTGGGTGGGTGGCTGGCTTTCTTGGGAGAGGCTGTAGAGGCAAATGGTTTTGAGCTAAGCATCTGCAGTCAGACCTCCTCTGTTCAAATCTTGGCTCTGCTACTGCTGGCTGTGGGAGGACTATTAATCTCTCCAGGCCTCCGCTTTTTAGATGGTTTTAACAATATCATCTACCGATAAGGCTTTCTGGACAGTGCCAGCATGCAGTAAGGGAGTGATAAATGATATTTTTAATAACACGTCTGTTCTCATTTAACATCTACGTGCTATAGATGCTACACACTTTCCATCTGTGTCATTTAATCCTCATAACAACTAAGCAAGTTCAGCGTTATTCGTCTCATTTACAGCGGAGGAGATGGAAGCTCGTCAGGGTTCAGACTTGACCAGGTCTCTGCAACTTCTAATTAGGAGATGAAATTCCAACCCCGGACTGTCGAACACCAAAGCCTGTGCTCCCACCATGAGCGCAAGCTTCTCATCTGTTCTGAATATTTTGTTTCGCACTTGTACAAAAGCTAACTTGGGGTTTTCCATATGGCATCAATTCTGTTGAAATATTGTCACCTCAACTCCTCAGCAGAAACCCTAAGGGCAAGGGTTGATCATTTTATGGAGAGTGAACAGAAAGGCAACTTGTGGAAGCGGAAATCGAAGCCTTTGACTTAATGAGGTGAGGTGATGATCTACGGCTCTCACCAGCTAGTGCTGGTGCGTGACCAGGGGTCTGCACTACATAAAGCGTGATGCGTGGGCCCCTCCCCGCCCCAGCACAGAGCCCCTCTCTTAATTCCATTTGCTACTCTGTGTCTTTCCTCCTTTTAGCTCGTCAGTTCTGTTTCTGTGCACCTACATTATTGTTTTTTTTTTTCCTACAGGAGAGGGTATGAAACATTATAATAGATACAAGTGATGAATTGATGTTCAAAATAAAAACTTGTTCAGCCCAAGAAAGATTAATTTCTATTAATTAATGGCACAGACCTGAGGATCATATACAGATGATCGAGACCGACATAGAGTCAAAAACTAATTTCCTCCTGGGAGTTGTGTGATTTTCACTGGGACAACAGACATTTAAGTAAGATGACCTGTTTTCTTACTGCCTGAGACAAGACTGATAAGTTCCTTGAGGATGGCTTCATTTTTTTTTTTTTTTTTAATTTTTAGAGACAGGATCTAACTCTGTCATCCAGGCTGGAATGTAGTAGCACAATTATAGCTCACTGTACCCTCAAACTCCTGGGCTCAACGGACTGCAGGAGTGTGCCATCACGCCCAGCTAATTTTTCAAAAATTTTTTATAGAGACAGGGTCTCTCTGTGTAGCCCAGGTTGGACTTGAACTCCTGGCCTCAAACGATCCTCCTGCTTCAGCCTCCCAAAGTGCTGGGATTACAGGCATGAGCCACTGTACCCGGCTGGACACTTTAAATCACTCATTTGACTTGCTAACGCTAGAGCTAGCAAAAAATTAAATCAGTGAGTGGAGAATCTTTCAAAGAGTGGCTTTTTTCTTCATCAGAAGGGTCAGGCAAGATTTCAGCAAAGTGGGAAGAGTCTTCTGCT